GAAAACCAGAAGTGGCATTGTTGCTCAAGTGATAGCTAAACTTGAGTAAAATTGGTCAGGGACAGCACTCAGGTTCTGAGTTTAAGCCCCATGACTGACAAGAAAAATAAGAAAATACAGTCAGAAGCCAGTGGTGCATGCCTGTGATCCAAGCTACTTAGGAAACCTGGAGGATCTTGGTTCAAAGCCAGCCCAGGGAGAAAGTTCCTGAGATACCAGCTCTAACCATCAGAAAGCTGAGTAAGAATATAAGGAGGTACTGAGTTCAAACCCCACTACCAGCACACGCACAAAAATTAAAACCCCTAAGTTTATCTGTTATATTTGGAAACAAAAGTTAAAGAAAACAAGCTGGGAGCTTGTTTTCACAAGTTAGAAAATCACAAAGTTAGAAAATATGGTCAGAGCTGGTTTCCAGTACTCACACCTGTAATCCTAGCTACTCAGGAGGCTGAGATCTGAGGATCATGGTTCAAAGCCAGCCTGAGCAGGAAAATCTGTGAGACTCTTATCTCCAATAAACCACTCAGAAAACTGGAAGTGGCTTTGTGGTTCAAGTGGTAGAGTGCTAGCCTTGAGCTGAAGAGCTGAGGGACAGGGCCCAAGCTCAGAGTTCAAGCCCACAACTGACCCCCCCCAAAAAAAAGTTAAAGGAAGCAAAAGGAAAGAAGTAATAATACGTGTTATATTATAAAAGAATCCTGAATACCTTATGCTAAGGAAAGACTTAGTAAAGCCATATATTGTATGATTCCATTTTTATGAAAATGTCCCATATAGGCAGATAGCAGATTTGTGCTTGCTCATGTCTTGCTATAAATGGGAGGGATGGGAATGAAAAGGAACATTGTTTTTATTTTTTTATTTTTAGGCGATAAAATGTGCTAAAATGGACTACGTTGATGGTAATATATCCACATATATTAACAACAATTGAATCAAGGTAGTTAAATAGATGAATTATTATATAGCTGTGAAATTTATCCTAAAGCTATTACAGTCCACAATGCAGAAAGTGTAGCTAGTATAATAATACCAGCACAAAGGGGCACAGAGGGAATGTAGCTCCACAGGACCAAAGCTTTGTATATTACCTATATCAAGGGCAGTCATAAACACTATTGATATCAACAAGCTAGTTATTAAAAGTTAATATGCACCAGGCATTGGTGGCTCATGCTTATAATCCTAGCTGCTTGGGAGGCTGAGATCTAAAGATTTGAGATTCAAAGTCAGAAATTCCATGGAACTCTTCTTTTGTGGTCAGTTGTGGTGCTTGAACTTGGGGCCTGAGCACTGTCCCTGAGCTCTTTTTTGCTCAAGGCTAGTCCACTATCACTTTGAGCCACAGAGCCACTTCCTGTTTCCTGGTAGTTAATTGGAGATAAGAGTATCTCGTACTTTCCTGCCTGGCTGGCTTTGAATCATAATCCTCAGATCTCAGCCTCCAGAGTAGCTAGGATTACAGGCATGAGCCACCAGCAGCCATCATGAGTCTCAATTTTTTGAGTCAGCTAGATGTATCTCCTCTGCTGCAGAGCCCTGCTGGCTTCATCTGATCTCCCTGAGTAAATCCCTACCCTTTGCTTTTCAAAGGCCAATGAACATAGTAGAAACTCTTGAAACAGAAGAGCGGTCTTTGGCACCCAAGAAGTTGGGGCAGCATAAAGGAAGGCATAACTCCTGTTCTTGGAGGTACCACATAGATGAGCACGGTGGAGGTCCAGATTTCCTTAGGAGCCAGTATACCTTTCCCCCTACTATGTTGAATGCTGACTACTAAACCTTTTAGCTGCCATCTTTTCCCAAGTATTGTCCATGGTCAAATTAGAGTTGCTTTACCCCACTTGGGCAGCCTACAACCAATAATTTGACTGACTTTGGCCTTATCCCACTAGGTCAAGCAAGATACCAGGTGCACAGGGACAGGCTTGATCACATACCTGTCTGCAGGCAGGCTATTCCAACCTAGGCCTGGTGGAAAGATACTGTCACCCACCGGGGATGGCAGGAACTTTCCATTCTGGACCTAATCGGAAGTGACCACCCCTAGCACCCAAGTAATTACAGCCTGATTTTTACTCCTTTATTTCCTTGGTAAGACCCATATAAGCTAGACCCCAAATCCAGTCCCACACCCAACCTACATTCCCAGGAGCTTGTTGGGTCCCTAGCTGTTATCCTTCAATAAACACTCTTCACCTGTAGAAGATGGAGTCTGGCCCTTTTCCTTTCTTCTCCATTGTCCTAACTCCCTGCTCTCCCCAATTTGACAAGAAGGGTTCATGTGGGGTGCCCTTTAAGCTCCAGAGCTAGGACCATGCTAGTCTTGCCTGAAGAGCACATTCTTGCCGAGTTCTTTCCCTGCCTTGTCCTGATGCCCTCTCTCCTTTTCTCCAGAAAGCGCCTCATGTTCACCCACATCCCCATTTCAGGCTCTTCCAGGGACTCTCGCCTCCTGTAATGGGCTATGCTGTATGCTGAATGAATTGTGGAGCTAAGGGTAATGTAGTACCATCTTCGATCTGGCTGTGCAGAGACAGCTAGCACTCTGCACTTTGAACTCCAGCACTTCCTCCTTCTGCTGGCCAATTAAAGATGAGAGTCTTACAGGGAACTTTTCTTTCTTTTTTTTTTTTTTTTTTTGTCGGTCGTGGGGCTTGAACTCTGGGCCTGGGCGCTGTCCTTCAGCTCTTCAGCTCAAGGCTAGCGCTCTACCACTTGAGCTACAGCGCCACTTCCGGTTTTCTGGTGGTTTATTGGAGATAGGAGTCTCACGGTCTTTCCTGCCCGGGCTGGCTTTGAACCGAGATCCTCAGATCTCAGCCTCCTGAGTAGCTAGGATTACAGGCGTGAGCCACCAGCACCCGGCTTTACAGGGAACTTTCTCTGACCAGGCTGGCTTTGAATTACAGTTTTTAGATCAAGGAGTCTTTAGGAAGGGCCACTTTTCTCCAGTTAAAAACAACAAGGTGGTCATCAGAAGTAGCTTTTTAAGCATGGTCCCACCTGGAACTTATTAAGGGTCAAAGTTATATATGACAAACTTGTAAGAATCCTCTATCCTTTTCTGTGGGCCGCTGGAAACTGTTACAAAACATGTAGGAGTAAACTGAAATAGCAATTAAGCAATCATTTCAGTAGTCCTAGTTTTTCCTTTTCTTCACTTTAAAACAAACATTTAGGACAATTTTATTTTTAGCTTTTTTTACTCAGGGGACGCCATTTTTAATCCCTTTGAAACACTGGGTCACATCTATTACCTTTCCCCAGCCTGCTTAAAACAGCCACTTTTTTTTCCCTTTCAGCCTGAATTGCCTTTTGAAAAATCTTTGAGCTCACAG